TAATAACTCCCGGTTGTATTGGTATAAATACAATAGGAATTTTTATATCCTAATTATTCCGGTAAGACATTTGCAAGACGCAGGTTGTATAGATTATAACCAAAATAATACCTCATAAATATAGCTTAGGCTGTACCATTTACTAATAATTTTACTAATTGTACTAATCACTAATTTTTTCGTGATTTGCCCTGCTGAAATTGGGGTGCGTCTTATACACCCGTACATCTTATATGCCGCCAAATATGGTAATTTGTACAAATTGGAACGTAACGAAATAGATCGGAATTCGAAAATCGATTGCTGATTTCTCTAAGCCGGTAAAGCTACTCACACAGCTAGAATGATTCGCAATTTAACTGATGAGAGAAAACAATTGATCTACGAGGCTAGTTCGTTAACGACCCCCTCTATGGCAGGCGTCCCTAAAAGACGGCCGGATAAACCACTAAGGAAATACCTTCATAACAGGTTTGACACTTCCGGACTAGTTGGAAAAGGATTCAAAAGAATGTCTAAAAGTAACAATATTCTATATTAGAAATTCATTAAAAAAAAAGAGAGTCAAAGAGTGCAACAGCTAGAACCTTTTGATAACGGCGGCAAAGTCGAAGGAATTGGTCTGCAGAAATATCTATTTAATAGTAAAGAGCAGAGTTTCACAAGCGGGGTTCCCAGGAACTCTATGGTTCCGCAAAAGGTCCCCAAGGATTCCGCGAGAACAGGTGAGATAAGCTAATGCACTTTTGAGTTTTTATTTAATTTCATATACATAATATTACTAAACACACAATATATTCTTGGTTATTGATTCATTTTCTTAATCCATTTATTGGTTCACAGGACATTTTGCCTTGATTTACTTTATGTCTTTTCAACATTGCCAGTAAAGGATAAAAAATGAAAAAAAACTGATGCACCAATTATCTGTTTTTGTTCTGTTTGCATTATATTCTAGGTATTTTATGATATTAGTTTCTTTTTTACGTTTGAGTGTAGAATTTTGTGTGCGAATAAAAACTCCATGATGAAGTATTATAAATGAACAGTATGAATTTTTCTAGGCCACAAAAATCTGAGCCGACCAAGCATAGAAATAAATACAATATGGGAACCAGTAATAAGGAGTGCCAGAGAAAAGCAATGATAACAATAAAGTTGCAATATGAGCTCTGGTAAAAACATGAAATGATAACAGCAAAATTGCAATATGAGCACTGGTAAAAATGGTTGCTGAAGACATTAGGTTTATAATACCCAGAAATTATTATCTAGATGTCCTCAAGGACACATGGCACAGTGGATAAAGGCGTTGGTTAGATCCAGTGACAGTGAGTTCAATATCCGGTTAAGATGGAGAACTTTCAGAGGGAAATTAACATCCATCAAACTAGAACAGTCTACCCCAATGAGCGAAATAAAGGGTTCAGTTCAACATTCCAAGCGCATAACGGCCGAAACGTTGTAATAAATATGGCGACAAAGATGAGGACAATAGTCCGAATAATGTACATAATACCTCATCTTATAAATATAGACAGTATGAATTTTATTTAGCATTACTGAAAAATTTGACAAAGAAGTATTAATTTTTACTTAAACCAGTTATTCAAAAATATATACTATAATATTTATCACGTTAACTACGATGAAAATAAAATGAGAAAGATATTGCATTTAATTTTGTTTTTGCGCGCGGGTTCTTTGAGACATGTAATTTATTTTAAAGGTTACGCAAAGATAAGAAGGTTGAGAGACGCTGGTATAGCACATTAGCTGATTGTATCTAGTTATTAGTCACACAGTCTGATCTCCCATACATAGTACTGAACTATTCTATTTTTATGGTAACAAAAAGTATTACGCGATGCCATACCTGTTCTATAGAATAAAGCATTAGCTGGCGTAATATATTTTTCGGTTACGCAGCCTGATCTTCCCTACTTAGCACTGAGCTATTCCGTTGTTATGGTAACAAAAGGTATTACTTGATGCCAGTAAGAGAATATACTTCCGTTACTACACCAATGGCATATCTCATTGCTAATAATAAGATTAGGTAAATAATTTGTTGTTTTGTATTTCTTTTGTCTCCTGTTAAATTTCGTTGGATATGTTTACTTTTAAGGTTTTAAAAGCAAAATTCTTTCTTTCACGCTATATATTTGATGCTGTGCATTTGAACAGATAAAGTTGTAGATTACTCATGCGGAAAGTAGAGTCAGTGAAATTTCCAAGTCATTTAAATGTCACCGTTTTGGGTGCAAATTAAATATTTGATAAAATCTCAACCGACTTTTCTTTTCTGTCTCGTCTTACTGACGCAAGCATTAAGTGGATGCTGCCCGGATTTGAGTATTCAAGCTAGATATAAATAACAAACACTATCTTCTTTATGTGCCGTGTCCCGTCAGGACGTAGGTGACCATGGCTCTCCACAACTTCCTGTCCTTCGTAGCTCTTAATAAAAATTGTCTTTTTGTTATTTGTCCAAAACCATATTCCGCCATCCATCTACTCAAGATCCCTAAATTTGTTATGCATTGTCTTCCTCTGTCCTTCTTGCCCTCTATCTGCCCCGTGAGTATCCAAGCTCTCTTTCCAAGAACCAAGACTATCTTTTTTCTAATGTTAAGTATAAACCTCTTTACATGTTATCCTCAACATCCTTCTGTAGAGGCATACTTCTGTCGTTTCAAGTCTCTTATTCATCTGCGAGAACATTGCCCAGCACTCACTGCCATAGAGGAGGACAATTATCACCTAACAATTTAGTATTCTTTTCTTTGTTTCAAGTTTTTTTTCTATTTCTTAGTACTCTGCTTAGCTTTTAAAAGTCATCTTTGACTATCCCAAGAAGTCACTATCCAGGTATTTAAATTTCCGTATTTGCTTCATTTTGTTATCTCCGGTTTGTAATTCGCCCTTTGGGCTGGTCCCTTTTGCTAGCAACCATGCGTTAGTATACCAGTACCAATTTCGGACAGATCAGACCAAAAATGGAATGTCGCTGCCACATCAGGACTGGATCTATCTAATCCTCACTTTCCTGATTTGACAGAGTTCAAAAATCTTTGCCACCCTACAGCTCTCTTTCTCTAGCTACTTCATCGCAATTTTCTTAGATGTTCGGACGAGCTACATTCCTTGGTTCCCTTAGTTCAAACCTTCATACCTCGCACTTGCCAAGCCACGCATTGATTCAATCACATTCATATTTCATTGATAAGAAGGAAGTTCCACAAAGATTGCTACTTCCCCAGAACTGTTGCATTCTGGAACCGACTCCTAAAGGATGTTTTCACGATCGTTATAATCTTAACCTCTTCAAGTCTAAGGTCAACCGTTATCTATCCTTCATATCTTCATAATATCCACCTCTTGCTTTGTACTTGTATGCACTTAGGACACCTTCCTTTATTAATTTTGTGATGTCAACGAACACTCGTTGCAGCTTTTGTAATGTCAACGAATACTCCTTGTCTCTTTCGTAATGCTCGTTGTAGTAGAGACTTTGTAATCGCAGATAGAACTATAGTACGCCGTTGAACAATACTGGTGTCAGTCGCCTTCGAATAACACTCGCACTAATAGTACTTGCTCGATAATACTCGCTCGAATAGTAACCACCGAATACTGATCCGTATAGTGAGATATTCACTAACCGGCAGATGCGGTTGAATGCGGGGAAAAGGCCAAGTTTATTGTGCGGTATCCAAGTATATGCTCGGCCAAAGTTTCCCCGTATACCCCTCCCCCTAAAAACGGAGTCGGGTAGCTGTCTGCCGAGACAAGACTGCCCTTCGACATAGCCTCGTCTGTTGATCCTCTCTGTCTGGAAGCAGAGAATTTGACCAGCACACATCCGAAGTAATTCAAAGAGAGAGATATTCACTAACTGCTCCACGCGGACGAATGTAACACAAGGCCAAGTTTGTTGTGGAGTATCCGAGCCCTTAAACTCCGTAAAAACGGGGTCGGGTGGTTGTCTACCACCCCAGACGAGGCTGTGGCGAATGGCAGAGTCTCGTCTGGGTTCCTGTCTGCCCGGAGGCAGAGAGTTTGACTAGCACACTTCCGAAGTAACTCGGGGAGTGATCCCTTAGACACCACGCTAATACCCATATATACATTTGATTCACGTGATCTACTTATTCAAAATGGGATCGCCTGTTTTTGCTCTCTGGTGATCTGTGTTCAAACTCTAGTGTCGGCAGCGACACTCTATTCCTATATAACAATTAAATATTGAATGGCTTTTGGGCCTTGTCATTGGTGAACAGTAGTGAAAAAAATTACTGCTGAAATATCCGAGTAAGATTACCTTTTAAAATGAACGTATGTTTTCATATTTTTCCATTTGTAACTTTTGTAATTAGCGAATTACCGATAAGGAAGAACGAAATCTGAATTGCAAGAAAACAGAATTTATGGCTATCAGCAAAAGGAACCGAACAACATGCAAATTACAAATTGAAGATACCAGAATCAAACAAATACAGCAATTTAAATGTCTGGGACGTGCGATATGAAACCTGAAGACCCGTTGGGAAAGCGAAAGATGCCTTCCAAAAGCTAAGCAAATTATTAAGAAACAGGAAAATTTTGACGAAAACAGAAAAAAGGAGTATTGAAACGTAATATATGATAGTGAATGCTGGGCAATCACCTCACAAACGAGGAAGAAACTTGAAGCAAATGTAATGTGGTTCTACAGAAGAATGCTGAGAATACCATGGACTGAACATGTGAACAACAACGAAGTTTTAGAGAAAACAGAATCAAAAAGAACATTTGCACTTAACATCAGAAAGAGATAGTTGACATTTCTAGGGTACATAATTAAGAAAGAGGGCTTAGAGAGTTTGATACACACAGGTCAGATTGAAGGCAAGAGGGACAGACGAAAGCAACGCATAACCTACCTAGCAAGATTGATTAAGTAGATGGCGGAACAAGGTTTAAAGGAGACAAAATTTAAGAGCTACAAATAACAGGGCTTACGACCATATCACGTTGAAATACCGGTTACAGTACGATCATGGAAGTTAAGCAATGTCGAGCTTGGCCAGTACCTAGATGGGTGACAGCTTGGGAACACCAACTGCTGTAAGCTTGGATGTGCGGGTAGTTTAAAGGGCTTATAAACATAACCCAATGAAACACTGATTATCGTACGATCATGGAGTTAAGCAACGTCGAACTTGGCCAGTACCTAGATGGGTAACCGCTTGGAAATGCCAGGTGCCGTAAGCTTGGATGTCCGGGTGCTATAGAGGTTTTATAAACAATATCCCAATGAAAGACCGGTTCGTGTATGATCACCAAAGTTAAGCAATGACGAGCCTAGCCAGTACTTAGATGGGTAACCGCTTGGAAATATCAGATGATGTAAGCTTGGAGGTGCGGATGGCATAAAGGGCTTATGAACTTATCTCAATGAAACATCGATTCTCGTATATTCACCGAAGTTAAGCAACGTGGAGCCTGGCCGTTACCTAGATGTGTGAGCGCTTAGAAATACCAGGCGCTGTAAGCTTGGATGTACGGAGATGTCATGGATAACAGTTCGGAATTAGAAATGAGGGAGCTGTGTTCCCATTCCAGTCAGGATCGTTATATTCACTTTAGCACAAATATCCTAGAGAAAGATATGAATCCACCTCTTATCCCCCAGCTATGGGTTAATTAGTATGACTTGTATCAGTAAATCCTTATTATCTTCAAAAATTCCTTACAATCTAAAAATATGTTCTGGCTTTAAATAACCTGCAAGAGGTTGATAAGCCTTAAAAAGAAATCGATCAAACAAAGAACAGGATATTGTGGAGAGCCATGATCGCCACTGTCCTGAAGGGTTACAGCACATAGAATAATTATTTTTATGCATTATCCATAATTATTTTTTCGAAAAATATTTATTCGTTAATTTCATTTAAAACACATTCAAAAGTTTTTAATGAAAAATAAAATGAAAATAATTAGTCAATGCCTCAGAAATATCAGAAAAAAATGGAGGATAAACAACATCCGGTCGAATTGATGGTTACATTAAAAATGGCGAAATTGGTTTGGAGTCAATGTTTAACTGCAAAAAATCATCGATCATAAATTCAGTTGAAAAATTGATCGATGAATTCATTTATTTATTTATTTATTTTAGTTTTACGATTTAACTAACAATATTAATTTATTGATCTCATTGTGTGAGTGTTGTGCTGTTTGTCTGTGGGTGGGTGTGTGCATCAGCGCCCACGAGCGTAATCATCTATCATTCTTTAATATGTACAGCTGACGGAGATATGATCGGATCACTGCCATATCCTCATGGAAAGTCGAAATTTTGACCAAAAGCAGAATTAACCTCCGGTTACTGCTCGAAATGATACAATCTGCCGGTTTAGTGAAGCACGGTACTCAAAAGCAAAGGATATCGCATAAAAACAATATTGTAATCGTTCTGGTCGCAAAAATTTGTGACGGTCATCGGTATCCCAGAACCTGATAATTCTTCTTAAGTTTAATGTTACTTCTGTTCTTTGACACAGATTTGCCGAAAAGATTCTTCCGCAGATCGAAAGGTTTCCCCGATCATACATGTTCTTTTACCCTTTTTCGCCTTAAGGTGGCACGTCTTGTAATTAATATTATTCCTATATTATGATGTATTGCCTTGTGATTTCATCGTGACCTCATCAGCATCAATCAACAAAAGCTTCAGCACCAACGGCCGGCGAGGCAGCATCTAACCGCGACGCTGTGTGACGCCATCCTTCTTACATCAGCAGTTGCTGAGGCATTAGTAGCGACTTCAACTGTAGCATTAGCGGCTGGTGCACTGGCTGTTCACGTGATCGGGTCGTGAAGCTGAGATGGCACGCTAGATGCAGCAGCAGCAGCAGCAGAGACGAAGCAATAAAAACGTCGTCTCACTTTCACACACAGATTTGATAATTTAATGACATTCTCTAGCAGTCTCTCTCTCTCTAACTGTCTCTCTCTCTTTAGAGAGAGATAGATAGATAGATAGATAGATAGATAGATATGGACTAACACATATAGCCTCACACACACACACACAAACATATATATATATATATATATATATATATATATGCATAGGATAAAAATATAATTTTATGGAATGCTATATTTATGGTGCTCAAAACAGGGATCGAACCTATGTAAATATAAAAGTGGACGGAAACAGTCTGTTTCATGCATGTAACCAATCCTCAGGTCACACACACACACACACACGCACACACACACACACATGCAAAGATCTTCTTGTTTGTGGAACTCTCTTCCGGCTTCATGCTTTCCCGCCAACTTTAATGTTCACAAATTCAAATGCAATGTCAATCGTTATCTACTGTCTTCTTGATTACTCTTCTATTGTTCTTTCATAATGTTTTCTATTTTCTAAATCTTTCACATTAAGTAACCCATTGTGTCTTAGTGGCTTTACTATGTCGCCTAGGGTAAAACGCAAAAAGTTTATTTTCGACAGATAAAAGCAAATTTTAAACGGTAAATTTCAACGCATCCCATGTTAATGTACCCTTAACTCTGACTTATATTTGCGCTGCAAAATTTTCTTGTATTTCTTCTGATTTTCATTTTTTTCTTCACTTGAAGAAAACAAAATTTTAATTTATCTTTCCTTATACCTCATTTCATTTCCTTTTTATTTTGCCTGAAAGTTTTTTTTTATAAGTTGATTTATGCCTTAAAATTGACATTAAAATCAAATATTAGAAATTATATTCTAAAATAATCCCCTTTTGAAAAAGCTGTTTGTTTTTTTAAGTTGACTTTATTGTAAAAATTATCATTAAAAATCCTGGGAAAAATAATGTTTAAAAAGCTTTTGTCCAAGAATAATTGCCTCTTCTAAGTTTGGGGCTGCAAAAATAATTTAACAGGAGTTAAATAATTTCCTTACAAAATAAGTTTATTTCAAGCATTAATTTATAGAGTCTGTTACTATTATATCCTGGAAACTATTGTCTTAAAAAATTAGACATTGAAATTATTGTTTTAAGTTTTAATTAAGTTTTGTAAGACATTATTACAAGTTTAGTTATGGAAATTATTGTATCTTAAAAATTAAATCGTGAAAATTACAGTTTTAAGAGTTATATCAACTGTTTTCTCAATCCAAGGATTTTTATTTTATTTTTTATCGGAAAATATTCTCGCAATTTTTTTTCATGTTGAAAAATAATAATATAATCAATAATTTATTTCTCATGTTACTCATATCTTTCCCTCATTTCCACGTTTAATTTAAAACTTGTTCTCTTCCTTATTATTTTCGCACATTTTCTAACCTATTATTTATATATATATATATATATATATATATATATATATATATATATATATATGTGTGTGTGTGTGTGTATATGTATATATATATGTGTTGGTGCAATAATTATCAGGCTTTTTTAAACAATATTTGTTATGAAAAAAGAAACATAAAAATTAAAAATAACATTTTTAAATGATTATTCCAGAGTGTATGATTACATGCCTTTTTATAACCTGAAAATATAATATTTTTATTAAAAAGTAAACAAAACATCAATTTTTATTAACAAATAACTCGCCTACAAAATCGGCTGATAATTATGCACCAACCCAATATATATATATATATATATATATATATATATATATATATTTAGATCTATCTACATCAGTCTGCTCAGATATCTGTCGTTTTCTCTATCTATCTATCTATCTATCTATCTATCTATCTATTTATCTCAGTCTATTAAGATCCACATCAGTCTGTTAAGATCTCAGTCGGTTTTTCATATCTATCTATCTATCTATCTATCTATCTATCTATCTATCTATCTACGTGGTACAACTAAACGTTTTGGGGAAAGTATGGCGCAGATATCTTTCTAAAAGCTAAATAAAATTGTAAAAAATTAGGTTATTTTTTTTATTTCTTTACTATAGTAATTTCAAGGCATGTAGAAGATATTAATGGAGACAAGGGATATATACGAGCGCACCTCCTAAAACTCTCGATGTTCACAGATTGGCAAACGGATCTCTCTTCTGATCTTGCACAAACTACCCAATGGGATAAAAAAACTGGCTGGTTAAATTCAATGCATCGAAGACCAAGCTAGTTAAATTCCATCAACGCCGATGTGAAAGCAAACTACCACCAATCAGAATGAATGGATGTCACTTCAGAAAAGGGTTCCCTCGAAAACCTATTGGGCCTCAGACTCACACACGACCTCAAGCGGAACGCGTAAATATGATACATAACATCCTCCTCCTGCTATCCTCTACCTTTGCCAGAACCCGATCAGGCCAAGAATGGCGTACTGCTGTTATATTTGGGCGGGAGTTGCCCAGACCTCACTCCCCAGACTTGATAGAGTTCAAAAGCTTTTCCGAGGCCTTGTGGGTGATGAATTATTCTTCACACACCAGCGTCTCTCCCACAGGCGAGATGTGGCAAGCCTCTCGCTACTCTAGCGCTATTCGAACGGAAAGTGCTCGGACGAACTACATACCCAGGTTCCGCCAAATCTACGCAACTTGATTAATGATCATATTGGTCAATCTGTTCCAAATCCGTCAATTTGAACAGTACCTGTTACTAAGTTTTTGGCTCGACACACGAACCCACATTCCAAAATCTGGTCAACTAACCAAACATCAAATGTTTCTGCAAGACATTCATTTTTTCGGTATCCCTTGTATATATATATATATATATATATATATATATATATATATATATTTATGGGGGGTGTTTGTATATATATATATATATAGGTATATCTTGAGAAGATTATAAAGAAACACAAGAATAAAATTATAAACCAATTTAAAAATTTTGATAATAATGCACATTCAAAAGTAAATTCTCTTGATAATACTAACCAATGTATTTGCAAGAATTTTAACGATTGCTCGTTACGAAACAAATGTTTGACCAATTCTCTTGTTTTCTCCAACAGCGGATCCGATTGTTGAAAATTTTTATATTGGTAGTACTAAGAATTCTTTTAGGTTTACTTGGTACTAACATATCTTATCCTTCACGAATATTACTTATAAAAATAGTGCATCTTTT